ATAATATTCTTTTCTTTTGTTTTTTTTCAGAAGTTTTGACAAACGCGTTTAAACGCTTTTATCTTAAAAAACGCCTTTGAACTCTTCAAATGTTTCATTTCCGTTTTTAAGCGTTTGCTGAACAAAACGCGTTTGAACGCTAATTGCCAGGTAAACGCATTCGAACGCGTTGGTATAGAAGCGAAACAAAAGGCGTTTGAACGGTGCAAATGTTTCATTTTTAAGCCATTTAAACGCGTTCGGATTGCGTTTATAAACACCGTTCGTAAACGCGTTTTTTAGAGTCGAAATTGTTACATGGGTAGAAAGTTAGACTGGGTCATAAAAATCGCTCTTTGCAATCCTCAAAGTAGAAATGCAGAGGGTAATTTCGCAGTTGGACAGAAACAGTTTTCGACATTTCGACAGTGTCGAAAACTGACTGTCGAACGGCAACAACTTCATGCAGAGTTATCAGCCACTCCACGTATACGGTCAGAAAGAAAACAGACAACACCATGATGATCAGAAGGGGCGATAAGCTTTGTTTCCAAGTTGTTTCGCCGCTCGTGCATGTCACAGGAAGAACTTCCTATATAAGTTGTAGGTCTCGGATCTGCGTCAGTATGTAGTACAGCGATGACACTGTCTCTTGTAAGTATTAAAGCGAAATATTCACGTTGTCTTCTATTTTTTGGATTGATGGTTTTCATAAATATCTCGGAAACCACCTTGGGTCCGGATCCAAAACCCATAACTATATACATTTTAAGTGCGTGCTGTCTACTATCAAATAATGAAATAATAAAACTTTTAGAACTTTGTGTTTAGCTATCGTAGAAGATCTTCTAAGAACCCTCGACTTTCACCCCAAAACTCTTGGAAAACCTTCAAATTTTGAGTTTTTTCAAAATAAAAACTGTTTTAAATAGTTAAAAGTGAATTCTACCGAATGAACTTGTTTAAAAGATTTACTCTACAATTTCTATCTAAAAGGCATTTCTACTGAAGAACTTATACGAAATCAAAGTGAGTACACAGCAAAAAGTTTGAAGATCAAGTTCCTCCTTTAAATCCTTCCGGCATATTTCTGTCGCGATGCTGAACTATCTTCTTTACTCTATTTCTAAAAAGTTAATCATGAGCTGTGATAACTTTAGTGAAAGAAATTTTCATTTCGAACGAAGTTTTCTGTCCCCTATGATTCAAAATCTGGTATCAAAATAAAGGTGAGAGAGGCTGATGTCTTATGATTTTAATGTGAGCCTTACCAATAAGGTAATGCTTGCGGTATGTGAAGAAAACATTCACGCTTGAACTTTCAGAGAATGCGTATTCGTAAAAAATAGACGCTAATATCAGTTCGTTGCTAGAGCCAATGTAGCATCCTGTGAATGAGGCGGAATGGCTTAGCCCCAATCCTCTCTGCGTCAAACAGGACCGAAATGATACTGAAAGTCATCAACGACAAAGCGGTCTTACACCGAGGATACTCACGATTGCGATGACATCAACCTTTGATACATTTCTCACTTTGATGCATTTTTATTTTGAGACCTTGCTAAGTTAAAATATTTAGCGAAGTTGTACATAGCAGAAGTCCGTTTTGATACCCAAAATAGTTAAACAAAAAGATTTCCACTTTGTGACAACAAACGTGAAAAGGATTTATGTTTTCATACTTCTTCATTCATTAAAATTGCTGTGTACTTACTTTGTATATTACTTATTTTTTCATGTGATTCCCTCTTGAAAAAGTGAAAAAAGCATATATAAAATGCAAAAAATCTAGTGTAAATAAGTCTGCACACTATGCTAAGAAAATATGAAGTGTCTTGTGTATAACGGACATTTTTTTTTTTGTATATCTCCTTTAATCCTTTCAGTCCCGGCGACTCCTTAAGGAGTTACGCATGTTTTTCTTTTCAGCATTAAAGTATGGACTTAAGCTGATTTCACAGTTCAATAGAGGTCAACAATATCTTCAAATTGACATATCGAATTACTATTTCTTACGTTCACACATCCTCCCACAATCAGGCATTTTCGGAGTTTAGATTAGAAATCATCCGTGCTCTTTTTGAAAAATATGGATCGCAGCGATCAACTTCCGTTGGCAGACCAATGGATCAACCAGCACCTTTGCGCCTCACAGAACGACATTTTCCATCATATATACCAAGTGTCGATAGAAATAATAGAATACGCCGAAGACAATGTATTGTATGTTCATCACACCAAATAAGAACACAAACAACTTATATTTGTGCAGAGTGTGATGTTCCTCTTTGTGTTCCTGTTTGCTTTAAAGATTATCACACAAAACTGCATTATTAGTTAGAATTTCATTGTATTCTCATAAAAACATCTTTCCTTTTCTTTGAAATACGAAATACAAATGAAATAAAATAAGAAATTTAAAAAAAATAATTTTTCACTTCTTCGAAAAAAAGCCGGGACTGAAAGGGTTAAAATGAGAATAACAAAAACACATATCTTCAATCACACACGTGTCTATAGACACATAGTATATACTATTTATGTTATAAATAGAATGTGGACTATCTACTTGTATACGAAATATCGACTAAATTCTCACTTTGAAATAAGAGAAAAGAATTCTTTTCCGTTCTTGCAATTCAAAAAGTACTAACTATATCCACCAATAAAATTCCGTGACGTGAGTTGCGTCGCGACTTTTTAAAACTCAGCTAGATTGTCCTGTAATAGCCGCAATTACTGTCGGCATGAGTCGATAAGAATCGAATCGATGCAGATTTAGAGTCCTGTCGCGAGATCGCGAGTGTGTAGCGATCACGCCCTGACTTCGCGAGCATATAGCGATCGCGCTGTGACTAGGAAATCGCGATTGGACTCCTACAAAATATTTTTTCTAAAAAACATGAGTTTACCAAGATCACGACTTGATAACGTGACTTTATAGTGATCGCGAGGCGACAGCCATGAGTTTATAGTGATCGCGATCGCGTCGCGACTTAGGCGTGATCGTCGACCCTGGCAGTGAATAGCTGTTTTTATCTCTAGCGACTCAGATAAAAATTAAAGTAAGCGTTTTGGAGCGACACTCCAACCACAACGTTTTCATTGCCCAGGTCGAAGAAGCGTACACGATATCGTGTACAATATTGCACAATATCTTGCACAATATTGTGCAAGATCGTAGAGAACTAAGAAGTGATTTGATTCGTATAGTAGATCGTATGATTTCTTATACTGCGATGTTGGTACGAGTAGGATTATATGTCGGTCAGGTATTTCGTATAAAAATGTTCTGTATGATTCGTACAAAATCGTTTGGTAAAAATCGTACGTGATCGTGGCGTACTATTTCATATGATTTGAGTAGAAATCGTACCCTTTAGATCATTTTTTTTGCTTTTGCTGCGATGTATACTGGAAATGTTTAAAAAAGCTGAATTTCGAATTTAAATGACTTATTTAGTGTTCGAAGGATATTGCTGCAGAAAATTCACCTTCATTTCATAGCACTAAGCACACTAGCTGCTTAGCAGCACCATTTACTATCCTCGTGATGTTGTGCGATGTTCAACTCATTTATTTGTTTTTGGTCTTTCTTTAAATAGAATTCTGATTATTGGATAACACAGGTTTAATATGATACTCAGAATGTAGAAGAAAGCAGCACTGATTCTGAGAGCACTGAAGATGAGAGCCAGAAGCGAGCCTTTCCTGTTACTGTCAGTGCGTTTTTAACTTGAGAACTGCTTCTCTTACTCTTTTTCGGCTCTCCATAATTTTTGTTTACGAATGAAGCACATTTTTTTACTGCTGTTTGTTGATTTTTTTCCTTTTTAAGAAATTTATGTTATTTTTATTTTTAAATTCTTTTTCTTGTTTTGATGTGATTTATCCAATGAACTGAAGTATTTCTACAGTTTTTCCAACCCAGCGACTCTTTTTCTAAACCTTTTATGTCTCCCATGCATGATTAAAAGGCATGAAAAAGAAACGAATTGAGAAGATTCATATGCGGCAAAAACGTACAGGAAAAGCAGACCCTAGTGAACGTACTCATCCGATGAGTACGACTTTACTCATAATTCGTCCATGAGTACTCATATTGGTACTACTAACAATTTCTGAGTATTGTTACTCAGTGAGTACTCAGGAAATATTCATTCATCATTTTATTTTGCTAAACTGAAACTGTATAAAGAATGTAGAATTTAGTGAAGAAACACAGAATATTTATGTTATTATTTTCTCACTGGTCTCTCTTTATATAGTCAGAGATAGACTTGTAGTCCTACTCTGGCTACCTGAGATCACTCCTTTATGTGAAAATATCAGATGAACAATACTCATGAGTATTTTGCCGAAAGTGGTATGAGTACTCAACAATACCCAAGCATGAGTACTCAAAGTCGTACTTAGAGCACTTGTTACTCACTCGTGAGTACTCAGTGAGTAAAAAAATGTATGAATACGTATGAGTACTCGTCCGGTTTTTCTAGCAGAGTACTTTTTGAGTACTCACACTTGAGTACATTCACTAGGGGAAACAAACTAGCGAGAGAAACCAGAAAAAAAGAGTCAGAATCATGTATTATTCGTACGAACGATTCGTACAAAATTAGACACGATCTTATGTTATCTTACTATGTCGTATGTATGATCTCACAGGCACAGATCAGATCAGTGCAATATCGTGTACGATTGTTGCACGAAACGTATAGTCTGGATTCTGTGACTTTTCAGGGACCACGATTCGGACGTCGATCGTACAATTTCGTATGTATGAATTTGTACGATTATTCTAGCTCATACGGATTCGTGTACGATCATAGAATACAATCGTATCTGATCATATCCGATCTGGTACGATCCGTTCGTACGATTCTTCGACCTGGGTGCTCGTCAAGATCTGTTCATGCTGATAAAATAATGGCTTGAAAATAAGCCATTCTTTAGATTCGCTGGAAAGATAGGGTACGCTTAATAACTAAAGAAATACTATACTCTATTTTCTTTAGTTAACCATGGATTGCTTACATGCAGCCGACTGCGGTCGTCTCGATATCATTAAACAGCTAATGACAAAAGAGAATTCAGTGATAAATATGAGACATAAAGACAAAAGTAATCGTTCATTTAATGTTGGTGGTACGCCAATTCATTATGCATGTCGATCCGGACATTTGGATGTAGTCAGATATCTTTTGGAAAAAGATCCATCTCTAATTGATATTAAGGATATTGAAAATTGGACACCATTACATTATGCATGTTATAACGGGCATTTGGCTATTGTGAAACTATTGCTTGACAAGAATGCTGATACAAAGTCACAAGATTCATACCTTTCCAAAACACCATTGGAATTTGCTATGTATAAACAATTTAGGGATATTATACATTTGCTAGATAAGAATATTGATGAAACGTTATGGAAACGAGATTTTAACGATATAGCCCGTCAGGGCAATACGCCAGTATTTCGAAGACATTCCAAATTATTCCTTGGACGATATAAATTGCAAGAAAATGATTTAAAATGTATTTTAGAATTTCGAACAGATCCGAACCATGACGCTATTGAGTTAAACAACGTTTGTGATGTTGAATTGAATGATCTTAGTGTTAATATAATATTGAATCACAATTTTAGACAACATGAGGAAAAAACGAAAACTCTGCTGAGTTTAGATATGGACCACAATGATGGTTTCCTGCGATCATCAACAACTTCAACAAACGAACATATACTAGTAGTTACCAAGTGTTAGATCATTGCATTCAGGACTGAAACCAGATCGGTTGAGAAAGTCAACTGGGCCCGTAGAGATCGGTATTTCACCGGTTTAAGATTTGAAAAAATCTCCTTCTCTGACACACTTTTTTGGCCACCATATTAAGATTTTACGCCTTTCTTTGACAAAATAAATAAGATGTCTCTCAACCAATTGCTTTCAGCCATAAATTGAAAATGACGGTGATGTCAAACACTGTTTGAATAGACTGATGCTGACAATCCATTGCAGAGATGGAATCAAGTCAGAAAACCAGTACGGTTTGTCGGTCTGATTCGGTGACACTCAGGACTCTTGTGGGACTACAGAGTGCTCAAAGTCCAGCGGGCGTCATGAGAAGTCCCTTGAAAGTCCCTCGCGGCTGTCTATGGGATCCTGTGACAGGAGTTCTTGGAGACTTTCACCTAGAGATGGAAGTAACATGTTGTTAGCTTCACAAGGTATCGCAGTATTAGTGTAGTTTACTATTTCAAAAATTTTAAACGAAATCATAATGGTTTATTCTGAACTAAATATATGAATAAACACTAAATAAAATTCTGCATCGATTAAATGTAGAACGAAAAGTTCAAACGATTTGCAAATAACAAAAAATTGAGATACAAAAGCGGTATTGTTTTATGGAGTCAGTCATCAGCATGCTTTGAAAACTAAAATCTTCTCTCTTTTAAGTTTTATTGTTAATCCATGAATCTGAGTCGAAATTCTTCATTAGAAATACGTTTCATAAAGTATATCATTTTCTATACAGAGAGTGTATGAACAATATACCGGTAGGATTTAATCGTCATACGTACCGTTGATATGCACATGTGTGATGATTTTATAATAATTTCCACTACCGACAAAAAAAGACATAATTATTACCAAATGATATTTATTTTCTTTTGTTTGATTTGATATATAAATTAATGATATAAACAAGAAAAAAAATTACACAAATACATATAAGAAACAAGAAAATCACAAAAAAACATTTCATGTAGTTTATTTACACACACACACACAAGACAGTGTGAGTATGCTCACAAATTCACAACTCAATTTAGAAAAAAAAACAGACATCAATTTCTTTTTTTATTATAGCTATTAAAACAAAAATCACATCTACTTTAATACTGCTTATGTTACTACTTCATGTTCGGTTTTGGTTCGTTTTGGTGATGATGGAGCGTCTGAACAAGAAGACGAGGACGAAATGGATGCCGATGATAATCGTGGCGTTCTTCCATTGGTTATTTCTCTTGCATGATGTTCAGCATCAAAGCCCGATAGCGCATCAGATAATAATATTTGAGAATTAGCCGAGTCATTATTGGATAAACGACGAATTAAAGTATTTGGTAAATTGTATGTGGTGGTCGTAGGTACCGACGATGAAACTGAACGCTGAAGGTGTTGTTGTTGTTGATCAGTATTTAGAGTATTTAAACTCGCTGCTGGTGATTGAGAATTTAAATAGACATTGGATGATGTTGAAAACATGTTAGAAAATTGAGCAATAGATGCTAAATTATTATAAGGCGTTTGTGAATGATGTTGATGTGGTTGTGATGATTGATGATATAAATGTGGGTGTGCATGAGAATGAGGGATGTATTGAACGTTATGTGTTTGCACTTTTGAATCTAAAGAAGATAAAGTGAATTGAATTTAAAATCCTAATGAAATTGATTTCACTTACTCATTGGTAACGATGGATAATCTTGATGTGTTGTTGACGGTTGTTTTTCATGTTTAATATGGCCATGTTTTGTTTTTGGTGTACCAGATTTTGGTTTTCGTCGTCTTGTTTGAATACCAGGTTTAACCATATTCATCGGACGTGCAATCTTTAAAAATAAACAAAATACACTAGTTATTAATTGAAATCAAAGAATGACAATGACATACTCCATGCAGTTTAAAGTATAGGCCACAAGCATTACAAACAGGTTCTCCATCGGTATTTCTTCGCCATAGAGTTGTATTTTGAGTTTGGCAATTGGCACATTGCAAGCCTGTGCGACGAGAGGTGGACTAAAATAATCAAATTATTAAGAAATATAGTACTGAATGAATCATAAATGATAAATGAGAGGTTAAATCAAAAATTAAGAATGTGTACTAAGTCATGTTGCGCATTTGAGATTATCTATGCTGTATTAATTGTTTAATTGTGGTTTTCAAAATAAAAGTTGTGTAAATGTTCTGTAGTTGTGTGGTACAGTGATTAAAAAGCATAAGCAAGAAGGGTGCCATAAAGTAGCTTCTCATAGATGTCGTACGATGTCTCAATAATACACAGAATTTGTTTATCTACAAGATGATTACAACCGATATCACCTCCGTTCTTACAATAACGTCTTGAACAACATTGATAAAGTAACATACAATTCTAGCAGTATTCCACTACATCAAAGCACATTGGCCTTCACTCGGCTTACTTGTTTCTGCTCTACTGAGCGACGTGAACGAGAATTATCCTAAAACATTAGACTTTGCCGATAGGAAATATGTGTGAAGTTTTATGTGAAATTCAGCGTACACTTTTAATCTTCGACCAAGAAGCAGTCTAAGATAGAGAAGCAAAGATAAGCTATAATAATAAAATGGCACCCACCGCTTGAGAGTGCTGCTGTTGAATGTCATTGTTGGTATATGGTGAATAGGGGACTGCTGTTGCCCCAAGTGCCAAAGCTGATGCAGCTTTCGATGTTCTTGAACGATGCGATGAATGATGATGATGAGGATGGTGATAAAGCGGTTGTTGTTGCTGTGATGTTTGCGGGATTATTTGCTGATGGTGGTCATTGGTAGTAGAAGAAGAGAGCGTGGACATATTTGGTAAACAAACTGGAAGTGTAGCTTGATCAGATGGTAACACATCCTCCTCCTATTTTTTTGCAAATTAAAAAAATAAAAAAATAGATAAGAATAAAGCGTACCTATTGAAAGTGTCCAAGGAAAAACGGTCTTGTCTAGACATGCATATTGCGAGCAAAAGGATAGTGTTCTGTTCTGAAACATTCAAGCCTTATTACAATTTGCATCTAATATGAAAACTATACAAAAATGCAAAAAGTGATATATGAATAGAAAGTTAACAAATCGACTGCCCTATTTTTTCTACAAAGTTTCTTAATCAGTGTATACAAAATTACCGTTCAGACTAAGTTATCTCTTCCTTTTTAAAGTGAAAGAAGTATTTGAGGTTATGTAATCGAAGTAAATAAGGGCTAATATCTATTTTAAAATAGTTTTCTGTTAGTCTTCAAAACGACTAAAGACAATTTTCTTGTTGTTTAAATGTAGATGATAATTTACTAGGGATAAATAAGCAATAAAGCTGTATTACTATCGCTATTTGTGAAATTAAGTTTGTGTACCACAGTGATACTAGGGTTCACAAAATAACAAATTACAACAATAAAATGTTTAGAATATTATGTGTAAGCGGATAAGCGATATTTAACAATGGACATTTGAACACTTACCAATCTTCTTGGTGTTTTGTTCAACGGTCTATTTGACCCATTGATTTTGTGATATAGTCCACATGCATTGCACAAACATTAGTCAATGGTGCCTACTGGAGCACACCCGAACAATATTATGGAACATTACAACAACAACAATCAGAACAGAGAACATCACCAACTGATTCATCATTTCATCAGCAACAGCAACAGCAAAGTCCATCAGATAAAGCGCAACGTCTGGTAGGGATTACACACTCGATAACTTCTGATCAAATACCCATGTGGAATGGGTCAATTGGACCCATTTTACATTATCCAGGTATGAGTTTGAAAGATTAGACAAAATTTGAGAAAACAAAGTTTCAAGTTAATTCTAGATGGCACATATTTTGATGCAACCGAAGGCCGAGAATGTGTAAATTGTGGTGCAATATCCACACCGTTGTGGCGAAGAGACGGCACAGGACATTATTTGTGTAATGCATGTGGACTATATCACAAAATCAATGGGTCAAATAGACCGTTGAACAAAACACCAAGAAGATTGGTAAGTGTTCAAATGTCCATTGTTAAATATCGCTTATCCGCTTACACATAATATTCTAAACATTTTATTGTTGTAATTTGTTATTTTGTGAACCCTAGTATCACTGTGGTACACAAACTTAATTTCACAAATAGCGATAGTAATACAGCTTTATTGCTTATTTATCCCTAGTAAATTATCATCTACATTTAAACAACAAGAAAATTGTCTTTAGTCGTTTTGAAGACTAACAGAAAACTATTTTAAAATAGATATTAGCCCTTATTTACTTCGATTACATAACCTCAAATACTTCTTTCACTTTAAAAAGGAAGAGATAACTTAGTCTGAACGGTAATTTTGTATACACTGATTAAGAAACTTTGTAGAAAAAATAGGGCAGTCGATTTGTTAACTTTCTATTCATATATCACTTTTTGCATTTTTGTATAGTTTTCATATTAGATGCAAATTGTAATAAGGCTTGAATGTTTCAGAACAGAACACTATCCTTTTGCTCGCAATATGCATGTCTAGACAAGACCGTTTTTCCTTGGACACTTTCAATAGGTACGCTTTATTCTTATCTATTTTTTTATTTTTTTAATTTGCAAAAAAATAGGAGGAGGATGTGTTACCATCTGATCAAGCTACACTTCCAGTTTGTTTACCAAATATGTCCACGCTCTCTTCTTCTACTACCAATGACCACCATCAGCAAATAATCCCGCAAACATCACAGCAACAACAACCGCTTTATCACCATCCTCATCATCATCATTCATCGCATCGTTCAAGAACATCGAAAGCTGCATCAGCTTTGGCACTTGGGGCAACAGCAGTCCCCTATTCACCATATACCAACAATGACATTCAACAGCAGCACTCTCAAGCGGTGGGTGCCATTTTATTATTATAGCTTATCTTTGCTTCTCTATCTTAGACTGCTTCTTGGTCGAAGATTAAAAGTGTACGCTGAATTTCACATAAAACTTCACACATATTTCCTATCGGCAAAGTCTAATGTTTTAGGATAATTCTCGTTCACGTCGCTCAGTAGAGCAGAAACAAGTAAGCCGAGTGAAGGCCAATGTGCTTTGATGTAGTGGAATACTGCTAGAATTGTATGTTACTTTATCAATGTTGTTCAAGACGTTATTGTAAGAACGGAGGTGATATCGGTTGTAATCATCTTGTAGATAAACAAATTCTGTGTATTATTGAGACATCGTACGACATCTATGAGAAGCTACTTTATGGCACCCTTCTTGCTTATGCTTTTTAATCACTGTACCACACAACTACAGAACATTTACACAACTTTTATTTTGAAAACCACAATTAAACAATTAATACAGCATAGATAATCTCAAATGCGCAACATGACTTAGTACACATTCTTAATTTTTGATTTAACCTCTCATTTATCATTTATGATTCATTCAGTACTATATTTCTTAATAATTTGATTATTTTAGTCCACCTCTCGTCGCACAGGCTTGCAATGTGCCAATTGCCAAACTCAAAATACAACTCTATGGCGAAGAAATACCGATGGAGAACCTGTTTGTAATGCTTGTGGCCTATACTTTAAACTGCATGGAGTATGTCATTGTCATTCTTTGATTTCAATTAATAACTAGTGTATTTTGTTTATTTTTAAAGATTGCACGTCCGATGAATATGGTTAAACCTGGTATTCAAACAAGACGACGAAAACCAAAATCTGGTACACCAAAAACAAAACATGGCCATATTAAACATGAAAAACAACCGTCAACAACACATCAAGATTATCCATCGTTACCAATGAGTAAGTGAAATCAATTTCATTAGGATTTTAAATTCAATTCACTTTATCTTCTTTAGATTCAAAAGTGCAAACACATAACGTTCAATACATCCCTCATTCTCATGCACACCCACATTTATATCATCAATCATCACAACCACATCAACATCATTCACAAACGCCTTATAATAATTTAGCATCTATTGCTCAATTTTCTAACATGTTTTCAACATCATCCAATGTCTATTTAAATTCTCAATCACCAGCAGCGAGTTTAAATACTCTAAATACTGATCAACAACAACAACACCTTCAGCGTTCAGTTTCATCGTCGGTACCTACGACCACCACATACAATTTACCAAATACTTTAATTCGTCGTTTATCCAATAATGACTCGGCTAATTCTCAAATATTATTATCTGATGCGCTATCGGGCTTTGATGCTGAACATCATGCAAGAGAAATAACCAATGGAAGAACGCCACGATTATCATCGGCATCCATTTCGTCCTCGTCTTCTTGTTCAGACGCTCCATCATCACCAAAACGAACCAAAACCGAACATGAAGTAGTAACATAAGCAGTATTAAAGTAGATGTGATTTTTGTTTTAATAGCTATAATAAAAAAAGAAATTGATGTCTGTTTTTTTTTCTAAATTGAGTTGTGAATTTGTGAGCATACTCACACTGTCTTGTGTGTGTGTGTGTAAATAAACTACATGAAATGTTTTTTTGTGATTTTCTTGTTTCTTATATGTATTTGTGTAATTTTTTTTCTTGTTTATATCATTAATTTATATATCAAATCAAACAAAAGAAAATAAATATCATTTGGTAATAATTATGTCTTTTTTTGTCGGTAGTGGAAATTATTATAAAATCATCACACATGTGCATATCAACGGTACGTATGACGATTAAATCCTACCGGTATATTGTTCATACACTCTCTGTATAGAAAATGATATACTTTATGAAACGTATTTCTAATGAAGAATTTCGACTCAGATTCATGGATTAACAATAAAACTTAAAAGAGAGAAGATTTTAGTTTTCAAAGCATGCTGATGACTGACTCCATAAAACAATACCGCTTTTGTATCTCAATTTTTTGTTATTTGCAAATCGTTTGAACTTTTCGTTCTACATTTAATCGATGCAGAATTTTATTTAGTGTTTATTCATATATTTAGTTCAGAATAAACCATTATGATTTCGTTTAAAATTTTTGAAATAGTAAACTACACTAATACTGCGATACCTTGTGAAGCTAACAACATGTTACTTCCATCTCTAGGTGAAAGTCTCCAAGAACTCCTGTCACAGGATCCCATAGACAGCCGCGAGGGACTTTCAAGGGACTTCTCATGACGCCCGCTGGACTTTGAGCACTCTGTAGTCCCACAAGAGTCCTGAGTGTCACCGAATCAGACCGACAAACCGTACTGGTTTTCTGACTTGATTCCATCTCTGCAATGGATTGTCAGCATCAGTCTATTCAAACAGTGTTTGACATCACCGTCATTTTCAATTTATGGCTGAAAGCAATTGGTTGAGAGACATCTTATTTATTTTGTCAAAGAAAGGCGTAAAATCTTAATATGGTGGCCAAAAAAGTGTGTCAGAGAAGGAGATTTTTTCAAATCTTAAACCGGTGAAATACCGATCTCTACGGGCCCAGTTGACTTTCTCAACCGATCTGGTTTCAGTCCTGAATGCAATGATCTAACACTTGGTAACTACTAGTATATGTTCGTTTGTTGAAGTTGTTGATGATCGCAGGAAACCATCATTGTGGTCCATATCTAAACTCAGCAGAGTTTTCGTTTTTTCCTCATGTTGTCTAAAATTGTGATTCAATATTATATTAACACTAAGATCATTCAATTCAACATCACAAACGTTGTTTAACTCAATAGCGTCATGGTTCGGATCTGTTCGAAATTCTAAAATACATTTTAAATCATTTTCTTGCAATTTATATCGTCCAAGGAATAATTTGGAATGTCTTCGAAATACTGGCGTATTGCCCTGACGGGCTATATCGTTAAAATCTCGTTTCCATAACGTTTCATCAATATTCTTATCTAGCAAATGTATAATATCCCTAAATTGTTTATACATAGCAAATTCCAATGGTGTTTTGGAAAGGTATGAATCTTGTGACTTTGTATCAGCATTCTTGTCAAGCAATAGTTTCACAATAGCCAAATGCCCGTTATAACATGCATAATGTAATGGTGTCCAATTTTCAATATCCTTAATATCAATTAGAGATGGATCTTTTTCCAAAAGATATCTGACTACATCCAAATGTCCGGATCGACATGCATAATGAATTGGCGTACCACCAACATTAAATGAACGATTACTTTTGTCTTTATGTCTCATATTTATCACTGAATTCTCTTTTGTCATTAGCTGTTTAATGATATCGAGACGACCGCAGTCGGCTGCATGTAAGCAATCCATGGTTAACTAAAGAAAATAGAGTATAGTATTTCTTTAGTTATTAAGCGTACCCTATCTTTCCAGCGAATCTAAAGAATGGCTTATTTTCAAGCCATTATTTTATCAGCATGAACAGATCTTGACGAGCACCCAGGTCGAAGAATCGTACGAACGGATCGTACCAGATCGGATATGATCAGATACGATTGTATTCTATGATCGTACACGAATCCGTATGAGCTAGAATAATCGTACAAATTCATACATACGAAATTGTACGATCGACGTCCGAATCGTGGTCCCTGAAAAGTCACAGAATCCAGACTATACGTTTCGTGCAACAATCGTACACGATATTGCACTGATCTGATCTGTGCCTGTGAGATCATACATACGACATAGTAAGATAACATAAGATCGTGTCTAATTTTGTACGAATCGTTCGTACGAATAATACATGATTCTGACTCTTTTTTTCTGGTTTCTCTCGCTAGTTTGTTTCCCCTAGTGAATGTACTCAAGTGTGAGTACTCAAAAAGTACTCTGCTAGAAAAACCGGACGAGTACTCATACGTATTCATACATTTTTTTACTCACTGAGTACTCACGAGTGAGTAACAAGTGCTCTAAGTACGACTTTGAGTACTCATGCTTGGGTATTGTTGAGTACTCATACCACTTTCGGCAAAATACTCATGAGTATTGTTCATCTGATATTTTCACATAAAGGAGTGATCTCAGGTAGCCAGAGTAGGACTACAAGTCTATCTCTGACTATATAAAGAGAGACCAGTGAGAAAATAATAACATAAATATTCTGTGTTTCTTCACTAAATTCTACATTCTTTATACAGTTTCAGTTTAGCAAAATAAAATGATGAATGAATATTTCCTGAGTACTCACTGAGTAACAATACTCAGAAATTGTTAGTAGTACCAATATGAGTACTCATGGACGAATTATGAGTAAAGTCGTACTCATCGGATGAGTACGTTCACTAGGGTCTGCTTTTCCTGTACGTTTTTGCCGCATATGAATCTTCTCAATTCGTTTCTTTTTCATGCCTTTTAATCATGCATGGGAGACATAAAAGGTTTAGAAAAAGAGTCGCTGGGTTGGAAAAACTGTAGAAATACTTCAGTTCATTGGATAAATCACATCAAAACAAGAAAAAGAATTTAAAAATAAAAATAACATAAATTTCTTAAAAAGGAAAAAAATCAACAAACAGCAGTAAAAAAATGTGCTTCATTCGTAAACAAAAATTATGGAGAGCCGAAAAAGAGTAAGAGAAGCAGTTCTCAAGTTAAAAACGCACTGACAGTAACAGGAAAGGCTCGCTTCTGGCTCTCATCTTCAGTGCTCTCAGAATCAGTGCTGCTTTCTTCTACATTCTGAGTATCATATTAAACCTGTGTTATCCAATAATCAGAATTCTATTTAAAGAAAGACCAAAAACAAATAAATGAGTTGAACATCGCACAACATCACGAGGATAGTAAATGGTGCTGCTAAGCAGCTAGTGTGCTTAGTGCTATGAAATGAAGGTGAATTTTCTGCAGCAATATCCTTCGAACACTAAATAAGTCATTTAAATTCGAAATTCAGCTTTTTTAAACATTTCCAGTATACATCGCAGCAAAAGCAAAAAAAATGATCTAAAGGGTACGATTTCTACTCAAATCATATGAAATAGTACGCCACGATCACGTACGATTTTTACCAAACGATTTTGTACGAATCATACAGAACATTTTTATACGAAATACCTGACCGACATATAATCCTACTCGTACCAACATCGCAGTATAAGAAATCATACGATCTACTATACGAATCAAATCACTTCTTAGTTCTCTACGATCTTGCACAATATTGTGCAAGATATTGTGCAATATTGTACACGATATCGTGTACGCTTCTTCGACCTGGGCAATGAAAACGTTGTGGTTGGAGTGTCGCTCCAAAACGCTTACTTTAATTTTTATCTGAGTCGCTAGAGATAAAAACAGCTATTCACTGCCAGGGTCGACGATCACGCCTAAGTCGCGACGCGATCGCGATCACTATAAACTCATGGCTGTCGCCTCGCGATCACTATAAAGTCACGTTATCAAGTCGTGATCTTGGTAAACTCATGTTTTTTAGAAAAAATATTTTGTAGGAGTCCAATCGCGATTTCCTAGTCACAGCGCGATCGCTATATGCTCGCGAAGTCAGGGCGTGATCGCTACACACTCGCGATCTCGCGACAGGACTCTAAATCTGCATCGATTCGATTCTTATCGACTCATGCCGACAGTAATTGCGGCTATTACAGGACAATCTAGCTGAGTTTTAAAAAGTCGCGACGCAACTCACGTCACGGAATTTTATTGGTGGATATAGTTAGTACTTTTTGAATTGCAAGAACGGAAAAGAATTCTTTTCTCTTATTTCAAAGTGAGAATTTAGTCGATATTTCGTATACAAGTAGATAGTCCACATTCTATTTATAACATAAATAGTATATACTATGTGTCTATAGACACGTGTGTGATTGAAGATATGTGTTTTTGTTATTCTCATTTTAACCCTTTCAGTCCCGGCTTTTTTTCGAAGAAGTGAAAAATTATTTTTTTTAAATTTCTTATTTTATTTCATTTGTATTTCGTATTTCAAAGAAAAGGAAAGATGTTTTTATGAGAATACAATGAAATTCTAACTAATAATGCAGTTTTGTGTGATAATCTTTAAAGCAAACAGGAACACAAAGAGGAACATCACACTCTGCACAAATATAAGTTGTTTGTGTTCTTATTTGGTGTGATGAACATACAATACATTGTCTTCGGCGTATTCTATTATTTCTATCGACACTTGGTATATATGATGGAAAATGTCGTTCTGTGAGGCGCAAAGGTGCTGGTTGATCCATTGGTCTGCCAACGGAAGTTGATCGCTGCGATCCATATTTTTCAAAAAGAGCACGGATGATTTCTAATCTAAACTCCGAAAATGCCTGATTGTGGGAGGATGTGTGAACGTAAGAAATAGTAATTCGATATGTCAATTTGAAGATATTGTTGACCTCTATTGAACTGTGAAATCAGCTTAAGTCCATACTTTAATGCTGAAAAGAAAAACA